TGTGCGATGCGCGCAGAGTGCGCCAGGCGGCAAAAGGTGCGCCAAGGCACATCGGGCAACAAGTCGACAAATCTACTATCTCTGGCAAACGCCAATACAAGTTGCGGCAGGGTGGTCAGCAGGTGTACGGAGTACGCGCCCGCAGTCGCTAAACCCCTCTCGATGCGGGTTGTGGATCTGCAAGGCGATCTCTTTTCACCTGGCTCGTGATGCGGCGACTGGCACGTGCGCGAGCCAACACCATACTGATGCTGCGGGCCAACATTTGTTTTGATGCGGGTAGTGGGCAAGCGCACGGCGGCAGAACATGATCACGCTCATCCCTGTCAAACGACCCTGCGACGGGGTGCCCGCTCCTCTTGCAGATCGGGGTCCTCACGGTTCTTGGTAGGCAGCTGGTCGAGTAGGGGTAAACATGCGGAACAGTGGCAAAAACCCTCCTAGAATGGGAATACCGTAGCACCCCGCAGATGCGGATAAGAGTGAGGGGGCGGTGGGGACGTCGGCAGTCTGCGAGACTCTGGAGAAGCCCGCCACAGGCGCCAAAGTTTCGCAACTTATAAAAAGATCCCGCCGCAGGCGCCATTGCTTCCTTCAAATCAATGTGCTCGGTCGCGGGTGTGTTGCGGGTGGGTCGCGGGTGGGTCGCGGGGTGGGTCGCGGGTGGGTCGCAAGTGAGTCGCAGGGTGGGTCGCAGGTGGGTCGCGGATGGGTCGCGGGTGGGTCGCGGGTGGGTCGCGGGTGGGTCGCGGGGTGGGTCGCGGGTGGGTCGCGGGTTGGGTCGCGGGTTGGGTCGCGGGGTGGATCGCGGGGTGTTTCGCGGGATGGGTCGCGGCTGGGTCGCGGAGGGGACGACGAGAACAAACAAACAACAACAATATCAACTACAGCAACAACACCAACAACACCACCAACACCACCAACAACAACACTCATTTTAATGCTGTTCGCCCTTATCTGCTTGAGTGTCCAATAGCGCGTATTTCCCAAACCCTCGATACCCGCCCTCTTCGTCTTGGGTATACCTTTCTTCCCTGCAGGCCGGGCCCCGGCAAGTGGCGGGGCGGCCGCGGACCGTCGGCCTGGCCAGCGGCAGCGCTCATCGGCGGGGCGGTCGCGGACCGTCGACCCGACCCCAAAAGGGACGGACAGGGGACCGACCACGACGACGACGACGACGAGCGAAAGCGAGAGCGAGAGCGAGAGAGAACGACAGCAGGGCCACAAGGACACGAAGTAGGCCACGAAGGGCGACGGCGGGGATACGAAGGGCATGCGTATGGGGCCACGAAGAGCGCGAACGAGCGGGGGCCACGAAGGGCAGATAATGCGGGGCCACAGAAGGCAACGAGGGGGCCACTGAGAGTAGCAACTGGGCCACGTAGGACAGTGAAGGGGCCACAAAAGGCGACAGTGGGGCCACGAAGTGCATGCACATGGGGCCACAACGGGCGCGAACGAGCGGGGGCCACGAAGAGCATGCGTATACTGGGCCGCGGAGGGCAAGGACGGGGCCACTGAGGGCAGCAACGGGGCCACGAAGGGCAGCGAGGGGGCCACGCAGGGCTGCAGCGGGGCCTCGAAGGGCAGGCGTATAGGGGCCACAACGGGCGCGAACGAGCGGGGGCCATGAAATGCATACATATATGGGGCCACGAAGGGCAGCGAAGGGGCCACGAAGGGATGCAAAGGGGGTCACAAAGGGCAGCAAGGGGGCCACGAAGGGCTGCAACGGGGCCACGAAGAGCTGCGACGGGGCCACGAAGGGCAGCGAGGGGGCCACGAAGGGCTGCAACGGGGCCACGAAACGAATCGAGGGGGCCACGAAAGGCTGCAACGGGGCCACGAAAGGGCAGCGAGGAGGCCACGAGGGGCTGCAACGGGGCCACGAAGGGCAGCCAGGGTCCACGAAGGGTTGCAACGGGGCCACGAAACGAATCGAGGGGGCCACGAAGGGCTGCAACAGGGCCACGGAAGGCAGCGAGATCCCGATTCCTAGGTCATGTGTGAGGGAGTCCTAAGAGTGAGCGCGACTCCTGGGTGCCTGGGTGTCGGGATCGCGGCGCTTGAGTAAATTTGAGGAAATTCTAGACGCTTCGCGTATCCCCACCAGCCCGTCCAGAAATGAGTCCCAGGGGAGTGGAGGTTATGAGGGAAGCGGGGGAGCATGCAGAAGAACAAAGGGCGGGGTGAGCCGCCATATACCCCAAGAGGGGGAGGATGTAGGAGGAGCCGTCGTCGTCGGAGTAGGAGGAGGAAGAGGAGGAGCAGGAGGAGGAGCAGGAGGAGGAGGAGGAGGAATAGAAGGAGGAGGAGATGGAGGACTGCGAGGACGAGGAGGACGAGAAGGAGGAAAAGGAAAAGGAGGAGGAGGAGGAGGAGGAGGAGGAGGAGGGGGAGGGGGAGGAGGGAGGAGGAAGAAAAAGAAGAGGAGGAGGAGGAGGAGGAGGACAATTGCGAGCTTGGGGGCCTCTTGGGCCGTCCTTGGGGCCTCTTGGCGGTCCCGGGGGCCTCTTGCGTATCTCGGGGAGCCTCTTGTGGTCTCTTGGGGGTCTCTTGGGGGCCTCTTGGAGGCCTCTTGGGGGCCTCTTGGGGCCTCTTGGGGCCCTCTTGGGGCGCTCTTGGGGCGCTCTTGGGAGCCTTCGAGGCGCTCTTGGGGCCATCTTGGAGGAGATCTATCAAAGAAGGGGGGGTCCCCAATTAGCGCTGCTCCTCTAGAGTGCCTCGAGTCGCCTCTTGGGCCCCCCCAAGAGGCCAAATTCCTTCCAAAACCTAGGTAAAATCAATGTTTTTTGTTTTCTCGCCTTTTCGCTCTTGGACCCGTCTTGGGAGCCTCTTGGGCCTCTTGGGGGTCTCTTGGGAGCCTTTTGGAGGCCTCTTGGGCGCCTCTTGGGGCCTCTTGGGGCGCTCTCGGGGCGCTCTTGGGGCGCTCTTGGGAGCCTTCGGGGCGCTCTTGGGGCCATCTTGCAGGAGATCGATCAGAGAAGAGGGGGTCCCCAATCAGCGTTGCCCCTCTAGAGTGCCTCGAGTCGCCTCTTGGGCCCCGCAAGAGGCCAAAATCCTTCCAACACCTAGGTAAAATCAATGTTTTTTGTTTTCTCGCCTTTTCGCTCTTGGACCCGTCTTGGGCCATCTTGGACTCTCTTGGGGCCTCTTGGGGGTTTCTTGGCAGCCTCTTGGAGGCTTCTTGGGGGCCTCTTGGGGTCTCTTGGGGCCCTCTTGGGGCGCTCTTGGGGCGCTCTTGGGAGCCTTCGGGGCGCTCTTTGGGCCATCTTGGAGGAGATCTATCAAAGAAGGGGGGGTTGCTTATTAGCCCCGCCCCTCCAGAGTGCCTCGAGTCGCCTCCTGGGCCCCCCCAAGATGCCAAAATCCTTCCAAAACCTAGGTAAAATCAATGCTTTGTGTTTTTTCGCCTTGTCGCTCTTGGAGCTGTCTTGGGCCATCTTGGACGCTCTGACACCTCGCGACCGGCCCCGTCCAGGTCAGTGGGGAGGGGTAAGGGGAGGGGTAAACCCCTCCCCGGAGGGGAAGAAGGGGGTTGGCAGAGGAAACTCCCTAGACCACCTACGCCCTAAAGGGCTGGTGGGATTCCAGCGCAAGGGCGCTATTCTTCAGTAAGTTGCGAGCAAGTCTCCAGCGAGAGCGCGACTCCAGAGCGCCGGGAGAACGATTCCTGAATACATTGTAAGGAAGTCCCAAGCGAGAGCGCGATTCCAGAGTAACATGCGAGGAAGTCTCGGGCGGGAGCGGGGGCTCTGGCTTAACTGTGAGGAAGTCTCAGGCGGGAGCCGTTGTTGTTGTTGTTGTTGTAATCTGGGGGCCAGGGGCCCACTTTGAGCATCAAGAGTTTCCCTGATTAAAAACAGGATGCGAGCGTCGAGGGGACACACTCTAATGGAGAAACAACAGTATGCACTTTTGGGGGAACCAACAATAATTATTCTTCAGAAGTGACAGTTCAACAGCACCGCCAACAACACCAACAACAGCAGCAACAACAATAACAACAGCACCAACAACACCAACAACACCACCAACAACACCACCAACAGCAACGCAACAAGCAGAACCCTCACCACGGATTCTTATTTCAGCCACGCACCCAGGGACAATGACTGACCGTTCGGCCCCCCCTCACTCTGATATATAGAGAGAGAGAGAGAGATGATGTTGACAAACTATCTCTTCAAATCACCTGCGCCAAGAGGGCTGGCCAGTTGGATTCGAAAATATAGTGGCTCGCAGCAGTTCCACACACAGACTTTCCACCTGGCGATGCGTGGCTTTTTTGGGGGACACTTGCGTCGTCGCTCACCTCAGAGACCATTGCACTGGATGATGCTGTGGCCTATGTGACTCGCCCCGCTTCTGGCGGAGCTGGCCGAGCGAAGCGCGCAATCATGGTCCCCTGGCGCTTATTTCTGTGATCGGGTAGGCCGTCCGCGCTGGGGGCGTCCAATGGGACCAATCAGAGAGATAGGGAGGAGGAGGAGGAGGAGGAGGAGGAGGAGGAGGAGGAGGAGGAGGAGGAGGAGGAGGCGCAGGAGAAGGAGGAAGACGAGGAGGAGGCGGAGGAGGAGGAGGCGGAGGAGGAGGAGGAGGAGGAGGGGGAGGAGGAGGAGGGGCAGGGATGAGGAGCAGGGAGGACCTCCCTGGCGGTCGGGGTGCCGGCGAGCGAAGTCGGCTGGGACGGCGAGGCGAGGTGGGCAGGGGCCACGCCTCAGGCTGTGCCGCGCGGGTGGAATTGGCGCGTGCTCCCTCCTCCCCCCGCGGAGCCCGCCGGAGCGCGACGGGCTCGAGTCTGCTGGTCCTCCCCGCCCCTGCGACGCCCCTCGCGGGTCGAGCGACCCGCGGGGATGGGGGGAACGGGCTGTGCAGCTGGTCTCGGCCCCGCCGTCGGGCACTCTCCTGCATGCACGGACGCCTTCGGCGCGGGGGAACGCAGCTCCGCGAGCCGCTTCGCTAGCCCTCCCTCCCTTGCCCGCGCCGGCTGCCGAGAGGTGCCGCACACGGACCCGGGGTCGGTGTGGTCAGTGGGGTCTGAGAAGCACGCAACAGGCACCCTCGCACCATGCGGAGGAGGATGAGGATGAGGATGAGGATGAGGATGAGGATGCTGATGATGATGCTGCTGCTGCTGCTGATGATGATGATGATGATGATGCTGATGATGATGCTGATGATGCTGATGATGCTGATTATGATGATGATGATGCTGCTGCTGATGATGATGCTGCTGATGCCGCTGCTGCTGCTGCTGATGATGATGATGATGAGGAGGAGGAGGAGGAGGAGGAGGACAAGGAGGAGGAACGAACGAACGAACGAACCACCACTGCGGACAGCTGTTCTGGCCTGCTCGAGACCTGGTGGAGGAGGCCGTAGCCTCTTCAAACCTGTACGTATGGACTACACGCGATCATGCATATGGACAGCGAGGCAATAAAACAAATCTGCGTCGGAGGAGGGGAGGAGGGAAATCCTGGATGTGGATGTCGGCGTAGTGTCGTTACGTGGGGTGTGCGTATTGCCGTTCGAGTGTCGACCAGGTGGTGGTGTCTTGGGCCGTGCGAATCCAGGTGAAGTCGTTGGGTTGGCCTTTTGTAGTCGGTGTGGGCGTTGGGTGCTGGTCAGGGTTGTTTTGTTGGAGGAACTTGGCGAAGTCGTCTTCCCAGCGTTTTCGCTGGCCGCCTTGCTGTCGTTGTCCGCGTTGGCGTGGGTTCTCTCCTGGTTGCCAGTGGAGTGCGCGCCACGTCCACCTGGTGGGGTCATGGTTAGCAACACTCGACGCCATACGCCACGACTTCTGTCTGTGAACCGTCTCCCAATTTGCGACTTGGTGGTGCTGCATGAGCTGCTCTGCACTCCGTGTTGCTCGCTGTATATACTCGACCCAGGGCTCTAGAGTGTCCTCGTTGTCGTCGTCATTGTCGTTGCTCTCGCTGTGTGGGTCTGCTGCGTCTTGCTGTGCTGCGTGGCTGTCTGCGTCGTCGCTGCTGTCGGTTGCGTTGGGGTCGTCGCCAGGTGCTTCGTTGGTCGTGCCGTCGTCCGTGCCGCTTTGGTTATTGTGAGGGATTGTGCTGCGAGTAGTGCGTCGCCGTGTCGTTCTGATGATCATGCGGAGCATGCGTCGTTGCGTTCGTCGCAGGTGTTGCCGGAGAGGTTCCGTAAGCGTCCAGATCTCTGCTCCGTAAAGCGCCGTCGGTGTTACTGTGCTGTTGAAAAGCCGAACTGTGCGCTAGCGGGTAGCGCTTGCTGGTCAGCTCCTGTTTGTGTGAAGTGAATGATGCCCATGCGGCTGTCGTGCGGTGGTGGATCTGTGTCTCCGTCGCGTCGTGGAAGCTGATGGGTTAGCCGAGGTATTTGATGCTGCCCTCGTGTGGCAAGATGTCGATGTCCATGCCCTCAACGCGCGCCGTGCGCGAGCTCGCCCTGCCGGTCCGTCTCGTTTGGGTGCTCAGTATCTTGGTCTTGGAAGGGTGCAGTTCGAGTCCGTGCGGTTGCGCCGCGCGCACAATATCTTCGAGCATTGATGTGAGGCGCGGGAGAGTCTGGCTGGTTAAGAGCACGTCGTCGGCGAAGCGAAGGTTGGTGAGTGTGGTGGCGGCGGTTCGCCCCAGCTGAACGCCCTTGCCCTTCTTTTGCTATTCGGTGATCAGCGGTTCTAGAATGTGTTGTAGAAGAGCGTTAAAGAGGAGGGAGCTGAGCGGGTCCCCTTGTTTCATGCCCCGTAAAAGGCTGAAGGGCCGGCTGGTTACATTCGTTTTGACTGTGGCTTCCTGTCCCTCGTACAACTGATGGAGTAGAGAGATGTATCCTGGCTGGACACCTTGCGCCTTGAGCGCCGCCCATATGCTCTCGTGTTCGACCGTGTCAAAAGCCTTTTTAAAGTCGAGCGCTGCAACCTACAAGTTCTGGTTCCATTCGTGCGCTCGCTCCCGAAGAATGTGAAATGTGAGGAGGTGGTCGGTGGTCGAGTGTTCTGGCCTGAACCCTGCTTGGTCAGCTGTCTGTCGAGAGTCGAGTGCCGGTTGGAGTCGGCTGTAAAGCAGCCTGCTGAAAAGCTTGTAAAGCAGCGGTATCGTGCATATAGGCCGGTGGTTTTGAGGAAGCGTGAGATCCCCACTGTTTGGAACTACCGTGACAACAGTGCTCTTCCAGCTGGCCGGTGGCGGAGCGTTGGACTGCAGGATCGTGTTGTAGAGGTGGAGCAATGCTTCTTTGAGTTCTTCCGTGCCTTCTTTCAGCATCTCTGCTCTGAGGCCCTTGGTATCGGGAGCTTTGCCAAGGCGGAGCCCCTTGATCGCCTTGTCTACCTCTGCTTTTGTGAAAGGTGAAGGGTCGTCGTCGGGTCGTTCTTGCTGCGTCGACTCTGCCGTTGAATGGTAAAGGTGCTCGTAAAATTCTGCGAAAACGTCAGCAATGTCTTGCCTTGTCGTGCGTTTGGCGCCGTCTTGGTCTGTCATGTGCGTCGTGATGCTCTTCAAGTCTCCGAACTGGTCAAGTACGTAACTTACATGAGCTCGTCGTTTCCTCCGCTTCTGCGCACGGATCTCCTGCTGTATAATTTTGCTCAACTGCTTTCGAGTGTGATGGTCGTTGTTTGGTGTCTGCTGACGCTGCTCCAGTAGGGAGTGCACTCGCTCATCTCCTCTGTCTGGCGGGCGGTCTCCAAGTGGCTCCCCGGCAGTGCTGGCAGCAACGGCCTCGATGATAACGTTTTGGATGTGGTCGCTCAGTGCTTGTGGGTCGGATGGTAGTTCCTTTGGATGCAGTCGTGGGCGCTGGTGTTTGTGGTAAACGCTTGTGTTGGTGATTTGTCCCGTCGGTCGGGGTGCTGAATGTGAGTGTTGTGAAGTACGGGAATTTAAGGGGGTACGGGAATGTAAGGGGGTACGGGAATGTGAGTGCTGTCGTTGCTTGTCGTCGTGCCGTGGCCGTTTCGTTACCATGGATTCTGGTATTTTCAAGTCGGTGAGAACAGCCTTGTGGTCGGATCCCAAGTCGGACGTGTTGCTGGCTTCAGCGTTCGTGCAATGTCGGAAAAGCTTGCGGCTCAGCAGTATGTAGTCGAGCTGCTTCTCGTTGTCGCCGTTGGCGTACGCTATTTGCTTGTGCGCCGGCTTGCGGAAGAACGTGTTCGCGATTATAAGCCTTTCCTGTGCTGCCCAATGTCGTAACCAGGTGCCTCTTGAATTTTCGTTCCCATAACCGTGGCGGCCAACTTATCTTGAGGTGGCACTGCCGTCGTCGTCGTTGTCGTTGTCTGCACAAATGGCGGGTGCCCCAACCTGCGCGTAGAAGTCGCCGGCGAGAATGATGTGACGTCGTGTTTTGATGCTCTCCCTGTGGATCTCATGGATGGCGTCGTACATGCGCTGAACGTGCGGGTCGCTGTAACCAGAGTGTGGGAAATACGCAGACACCAACTGCAGTTTCAGTGGCTAGTCTCGGCGAAAATGCTTGGAATTTCTGTATCTGTTTGCCCCAACGCTTGTGCACGAGAATTGCAACTCCGTGACACGTCCGGTCGTTGCCTGATCCAGCGAAACTGTTTCCCTCCGTGGTTGTTCATAGCTCCGTCGCCGTCGTTCTCCACGTCTCATTGATGAGCACGAAATCCCAATGAATGCCGTCAAGCTCTGTGATAACCTCTTGGATTCGGTCGTCCGTCGTGAGCGACCGGGCGTTTTTGTGAATGACCGTCATGACAATGTGGGGGGAGGGAGAGGGGGAGGGAGAGGAAGGGAGAGGAGGGGAGAGGGGAGGCGGGGGGGGAGGGGGAGGGGAGGGAGAGGGAAAGGGGGAGGGGGCAGGGCAAGCTAGGTGCGCTCGCGTCATATCTGACGTCCTACCCCTCCCTCCCATCCCTTACCATGGCGCTGATTTTCTCTATCCGCGGACGCGTGTCGTAGCGGACCTGTGGCTCCGCGCGCGCGTGCGTAGTGGGTGGTGGTGGTGCGTGCGTGCGTGCGTGCGTGCGTGTGTGCGTGGTTGTGGTGGTGCGTGTGTGTGGTGTGGTGTGGTGTGGTGTGGTGTGGTGTGGTGTGGTGTGGTGTGGTGCTGGTGCTGGTGGTGCTGGTGGTGGTTGTGGTGGTGGTGGTGGTGGTGGTGGTGGTGGTGGTGGTGGTGGTGGTGCGGCGCAGTGGTGGCGGGCGGATGGGCGCGCGAGAAAGAGGCCCGCGCTGGGGCGAGAACGCCATCCTGAACGACGGAGGCCAAACACCGATCCGAAAATGAGGCCCACGCTGCAGCGGGAGCACGATTCGGAACGATTCGGGAGCAGAAATGAAGCCAACGCCTCAGCGAGAGCAGCATTTTGGAAAAACGCAAGCGAAAACCCGTTTCCCGGGGGGGGGGGTCGGCGATCACCCAACCGCCATCAGGGGAAGAGGGAGAGTATTTTCATATTGAGTAATTGTAGAGGAGGGGAGAGGGGAGGGCCAGGAGGGGGAATGGGAAGCCGTTGGAGCTGCATGAGTTGGTCGGTGGGGTCGCTGCTGGTCGGTGTGGGTCAGTGCTGCTTGCCGTGGTGCTGTTGATCGGTGGTTGTCGTTGCTCTGTGGTAGTGGTTGCTGGTCGGCTGGAGTCGCTGCTGCTTGTGGTGGTGCTGTTGGTCGGTGCCGGTCGATAGTGGGTGGCTGCTGCTGGTCGGGTGGAGTCGCTGCTGCTTGTGGTGGTGCTGCTGGTCGGCGCTGGTCGGTGGCGAGTGCTGTCTGGCGGTGTTGGTCGGTTGGGGACGGTGCTGCTTGTGGTGCTGCTGGTCGGTGGTCGGCGTTGGTCGGTGGAGTGTGCTGGTCGGGTGGGGTCGGCGCTGCTTGCGGTGGTGTTGTTGTTGGTCGGTGCTGGTCGGTGGCGGCTGGAGTCGGTGTTGCTTGTGGTGGTGCTGCTGGTCGGTGTTGGTCGATGGAGGGCGGTTGCTGCTGGTCGGGTGGAGTCGCTGCTGCTTGTGGTGGTGCTGCTGGTCGGCGCTGGTCGGTGGCGAGTGCTGTCTGGCGGTGTTGGTCGCTTGGGGTCGGTGCTGCTTGTGGTGCTGCTGGTCGGTGGTCGGCGTTGGT